ACTATACAATCACATTTGCTTCACAAAGTCAAGGAGCCCAAAATAATATATTTACTGGTCCGCATGGGGGTTGTTGGGTTCATATTTTTCTAAATGGGTTGCTGCGGCTTCCTCACAGGGGCGTTGCGAAATATTACAAAATTGTTAGAGCCTAATTTATTTTCATAATTTTATTTCCGTTTTTAATCCGATGTGACATATTTCGTTAGTGGTGCAAACAATAACCCACTTAAGTAACTACAGTTTCCAGTTACTAGATGGCGGTTAGTGAGCTATATACGTGTTATATTTATTTTTACCCAACCCTTTATTTTATTTTGTTTATGAATTTGCTATTTCAAGGTATACTTGTTAGAATTTAACACAGAGAGCCTGGTGAAAACCTGAATTTGGCAAAGGCGATGGGAAACAAGTACAAGTCTGCCAATCTATGCTTCAACTCGTTCACTGACCCTCACTTTCCTGTCTATCTCTCTGAACTGTTGCTTCCTTACATCCCCACAAGACAACTATGCTCTTCCATTGACAATAGAACCCTCTCAATCCCAAGAACCAAAACTAAGACCATCGGTGAACGCTCCTTCTACTTCCATGGGCCCACGTTCTGGAACCAGCTCCCCTTCCATATCCATCATTGTGAAACCTCGTCCACTTTTAAAAAGTCCCTTAAAACCCATCTGTTTAGGTCCGCCTATGACCTGTGATGCACCCTCCTTGCCCTGCCTCATTTTCTGTCTCGGGTTGATCCTGTAGTATAGGCCAAAACGTGCCAAAGTGTCCTCGTTTTATAGCCATTTTAATTGTTTCTATAGTATAGTAGTTACTATCCTAATGTCTCATTTTTATTTTATTTAGTTTACATGTTTTTAATAATTGTAAAGCGCTTAGAGCTTTAAGGTAAGCGCTATATAAAAATGCCTAAATAAATAAACACAAATTTTAGAACCACTGACGTAACCCAACAAAATATATGTGGCCTGCATGTTGAACATACAGTAGACTAAATATTACTGTAATACCGCTACTACTTAGTACTATTTAAGGATAACTAGCGAGTTCATTGGTGAAAATACATGGCAACCTCATGACAATAATTCCTATGATACAAATTACAAAAACTTGCCTGATATTTTTACAGCATTCGGGATTTAAATGTGCTATTTTTGGACTTCCATAGTTTCTGGATGAATATTGTACCCACCTTCCACAAAATCTTCTAAATCAACACCACTCCATTCCCCTCTCAGGTCACATGTAATGTAATTATATATGGTCCCCAACCAATCGTATTTCCCGAACCCATTCCCTGCTGGATATAAATGCAATTGCAAATTAAAACTAACAACCGAAAATGAACTTTTGATTTATTAAGTTCTTTTTTTAATCGGAAAACTATCAGAATGTGTATATTTTCAACCCGGTCTCTTAAAATTGTAGTTCTGATGGGTCTTGGCGTAAAATAATAAAAGACATCTCAAAATCGTACATTTTACGCCAAAATCGTACAAGTAAACAGGTCTGAAGCAAATATAAGTATTATGAGATGTCCCATCTCATCTCACTTTCATCATTATGAATAACTTTATATCAAAATCTTGCAGAACAACTGTGGACTTTTTATGACACACCATCATGATCAAACAGAGACGGCTGATCTTTGAAAATTTAAATAAAGCTATAAATTTTTGATGGATGTATGAATTAATGGTATATGACATAGTCACCTGGTGATGTGATCGTATATAAGGATCCTCCACCTCCACGGCGGTGACAAACTTATTTAAGTAGTATCCAAATAAAGACTCATAGGAATGGCCAGTAGAGTTGGCCTCAATCTGGATTTGTGTATGTTGCTTGGAGGCTGAAAAATTAAATAAAAATAATGACTTTCGCTTTGTTCTCAGAGAAATTTAATTTTAAAACGTTAAAAAGCAATTGTACGTTTAGAATATAATGTATATCACAGAGACTGAGATGTTAAAAATAATCATAAAGAGTGTTTATTATCAATGTTAAAACATAAAAAGCAAGTTGTTTATCTTCAGTGTAACACATTAGACCCTCATATGTACAAGGTAGCAGTAGTCTAACACATTAGCCCATCATATGTACCAGGTAGCAGTAGTGTAACACATTAGCCCATCATATGTACCAGGTAGCAGTAGCAAAAAAAAAGTTATTTCATTGCTAAAACCCTACTCTTTCTGAGCACCATAGGGTTTCTCCCCTGTCCTATTTTCTTTCGGCCCACACAAGTTTTTCATAAAGTATTATGGCCCGCCTTACATTTTGAGTTGTGCAGGAATTACCAATATGGTTCACGTTCTTCAATCACTAATATGGTTTACCTTCTTCAATTACTAATACGGTTTACCTTCTTCAATCACCACTATGGTTCAGCTTCTTCAATCACTAATATGGTTTACCTTCTTCAATCACCAATATGGTTAACCTTCTTCCACCACTAATATGGTTTACCTTCCTTCTCTTCTTTCACAAATACTTTGAGTTCTTCTGCTCTAGCTAAATACTCCTCTATTTTCTGTCTGTATCTCTGTCGTTTCACTGACTCTGTCACACCTGATTGGATGATTTTTAGAAGAAACAATTTACAAAACATTTCATATCTGCTAGGACCAACAACCAACCAATAGAGTATCATGAGCGATAGGAAAGATTACTCAAGTGTCCCAAGGCAGATACTGGTGAGTGACATAAAAACTCACAGTCACAAGAGGCAGGAGTGTGTTGCAGGCCATGGAAAAGGAGCCTTAATAGAGAGTATGAGGTAATGGGATTGAGAGGCTTGTGAGAGAAGAAAATTAAAAGAGATCAGAGGAGAACCATATTTATAATAAATACTCTATAAAATCAATAACAAAACGAAAAGCTTCATTGTCATTAATATTAACTTCTAGAGTAGCTTTTCTGTCTTCAAACCTTTCAATACTTGCATAAGGAGACCAACACCTTCTTGATAACAGGTCAATGATTCTTCATATCTGTGAGAGTTGTCTAGTTCCACAGCTCTTTTTAAAATGCTGATAGCTGATGCTTCCACTCCTGCAGATTTATCATCTGCCATTTCATCTTTTATACTTTAAAAAATGAATCTGGCTGAAGTCTAAGTCGACTAAGTCTAAAAAGTAAATGTAAATCTGTGAATAGTGTTACTTTACTTTACAAGTGTCATTCATTCTAAGTCGACTAAGTCTAAAAAGTACATGTAAATATGTGAATAGTGTTACTTTACTTTACAAGTGTCATTCATTCTAAGTCAACTAAGTCTAAAAAGTAAATGTAAATCTGTGAATAGTGTTACTTTACTTTACAAGTGTCATTCATTCTAAGTCGACTAAGTCTAAAAAGTAAATGTAAATCTGTGAATAGTGTTACTTTACTTTACAAGTGTCATTCATTCTAAGTCGACTAAGTCTAAAAAGTACATGTAAATCTGTGAATAGTGTTACTTTACTTTACAAGTGTCATTCATTCTAAGTCGACTAAGTCTAAAAAGTACATGTAAATCTGTGAAGAGTGTTACTTTACTTTACAAGTGTCATTCATTAGATCAAGCTGACATTTTTTATTTTCAAATTTAAAACCAGGAATTTAAAATTGTTTTATCATCATGGATGTCCAAAAAATAACCACTATTCTGTCTGTACTACTGTGAGTCTTTGAATTTGGGGCAAAGAAATATCAGTTTATAAACTAATTTTTATTGATGACATATATTATAATTTTTAATATTTAACAAATTAATTTATGCCTGTTAATTGATCTTTTGATAATTTTTTTTTTAATATTGTAATATTTAAATGTACTGACAACTCAGGACTAACCAAATGTCCAAAAACAAGTACTGTACTGTAGGCCTACTTGTACTCTGGATCCCCTGGACCCCCCCCCCCCCCCCCCCCCAAAAATAAAAATTTAGTTTTGTAGGGCGCAAATGATGGGACCCCCCCCCCCAACCACCTTCCCCATCAAAATGTGATTCGCATCTGTCTCTGTTTGAATTGTCTGTACTGTGTCCGTACACTACTTTGACACTGATGGATGAAAAGTATTAAAAAAAAAAAGTATGAATGGTCGAAACGAATTCCGAATGAATGGTCAGGCTAATTCTTAGAGATCATCCCGTGACGTATTTTCGTGTTTATTATAGTTGCAGTGAATTAGGGATTAGGTTAGGTTGGGTTGAGGGATCGATTTAGGGTTCAGATTAGGCATAAGGATCAATTTAGGGTTCAGGTTAGGTATAGGGATCACTTTAGGGATACATTATCATTAGTGACAGAATTAATTGGTTGTGTCAACCAAGATGGCGGCCATCGTGGGACAATCTCTCTAATAATTTACCGAATGGTCACCTTAAATTCTTAAATTTTAAGTTCAAATGTATGGGCATTATTGGCCTGGGATTAATCATTAATGGTAAAATTTAAGGACGACTGCCACTATTTTATCGAATTTCACGAAGACGAATGTATCCCTAAATCGATCCCTATCCTATGCCTAACCTGAACCCTAAATCGATCCCTATGCCTAACCTGAAACCTAAATCGATCCCTATGCCTAACCTGAACCCTAAATCAATCCCTCAACCTAACCTAAACCCTAATTCACTGCAACTATAATAAACACCGTGGCAGCCAACCTTAATATTAGCCTCATTAATAATTAATAATAATACATAATAAATAATAATAGGACAGTCTTTGACTAGTTTGACTTTGGTTACTGGTACTGGGTATGCTATAAAAAAAAAAAGTGCGAACCAGTTTCCTGACTTGTCTAGAAACGTACAGTGATTGCCATTATTTGCAAAACTAGATAATTGTTTCTGTTTTTATCTGTATTGTAATTGTAAGTTCCTTTGCAGCTTTGCATGTCATTTTTAAAAAAATCTCAAAGAGAAACCGGAAATCTAAATTTGAAGAAAAGGGAAAACTGATGCGCATTTAATTATTGACCAATTAAATAAAAAAGAAAACGATATCTGCATGACTATCATCATGTGAGAACGGAAACCGCAATGTTGTTGATAGTGCAAGGGTCCATATAATAAGGAAATGGGGTGTTGTTTTAGTTCCGATGAAGACAAAGTAGAAACAAATGTAAGTTTTATTTTTAATAATGATAAATTAAAATGAGAGAGCTTTTCTTTGCAAAGTCTCATACTCATACTTCGCAACTCATCAAATTATCATTCGTGACACTAACACTAGTAACACTCTTCAGTTCACTCTACTCTGTCTAACTAACACAAATCAAATCATAAATTAAATAAAATGATTGAGTGAGATTGTATTTTAATTTTTGTAATCAGATTGTATTATGATTTTATTGTCATTGACAATTGTAGATACTTGGACAAAGTTTTCAAAATGAAGTTATAGCCTTAAAGCCAGCCCCTGCCCCTAGTTATTTAGATAGTGATATGATAGGGCCTTGAATTTGAAATTGAATGGCTTGAAAAATAAACAATTGATTATCAATACCGAATTCTAAAGAAAGCTTTGACTTAATGTTTGATTTTGATGATTTTTTGCGTGAATTATTTTGGAAATAACTCATCTCATAATTCAATTAATTGAGAAATATTAACAATATTAGTAAACTATAAAATTGAATAAAATAAATCTAGGTAGAGACTTTTCCTCGAGCTTTAACTTTAATAAATAATGTTATCCAGCGAGGCAGAGGGTAAAAGTGTAGTTAGCGACATGGGTTTTGGCAAGAGTTGTCTTACCCTAAGCACTGTGATGTCCTTTGGGGAATCCTGACACTGGATTTAGTGTTCATATAATATATACCAATCCGGGACAAGACTTATTGGACGGCCACGCCTGAGATTTATGGACATTTGGGTGATTTGTTAAAGGAGCATGAGAGAAGCCAACATTGAAACAACAAATGTGAGATCATTGCCGAACAACGTACCAGCTGGCAAATAGCAGTGTATGAAGGAGTCAAAAAGGCAGAAGACGCAGGAAACGGAGCCCTTGCAACTAAAAGATCAATACGGAAGGCCAAATCTAACCAGGAATCAATATTCTCCTGTGAGAAATGCAGTCGAGATTGTCATTCCAGGATTGGCCTAGTGAGCCACTCGTCGAAGTGTAGCCCTAAATAGCTACTCCATCGTCTCGCGAAGACGGAAGGATGCCATATATATATATAAAATATATACGGTGGTGATCTGACTTATGTTTTACTAGTGAGAGGTATCTCTCGTATGAGATCTCTTGGCACTCTGTTTAGGGATTCGTTTAATTAAGCCAAATTACCACACAGACATAATAACCTATTTATATACATATAGACTGAAACAAAGTCTTTGTTAAAGGAGAAAATAATTACAAGTATTTATTGAATAAGGGTATTTACAATTTACTTCGTAGTGCACTCTTGATGAATAATATATAAACAAAAAAGGGATATAATAAAATTATAAAGCTGTATCAATGAAATACAAGTGTCCCTAACGTACTGACAGTGTTATCATTATTATTGTTATATTTGCTCAAGGTTTTATGTTCAATCGTTGTTGACTTAGCCTTTATAGTTGCACTGATGATCTTGGTAGATCACAAAGTGTGGGAGTTCCTTCTGTTCCAGAAGCGTGTCCTCTGTTCCGATCTTCAAAGCTTTCCAAGCATAGCCAAGATGGAGTTCCGGGTCGTAGAATCCGTGGGATCTCTGCGATGGCGAAGTTGACTCTCCAGCGATAAATCGTGGGTGGTAAGAGTCCCTGGATCTCGAGGTCCTTCAAGTAGCCGTACGTCGGTCCAGTAAGAATAAACCAGGCTAAAGGCAAAATGATACAAAATAGATAAGTATCTAGGCGAATAGTCATAAGCTGACAAATCCTGTTACAACAGCAACAAATTCAGATCGATGTATGGAGGGTGACATAGCCTGTACATATACATCCAATGTGTGGATAGATTTATAAGTCATTGTCGGCATAAGCATATGTTGCTTTGTAACAATGTTGGACCAAGTATGCATTTTAATTAAAGTATGAGACATTGAATCATTGACAACCATTAAATTTATAGGTACATAGCATACATATTGTCATTTTGTTAAAAGATACATGGGGCGAGTTGGAACAGCAACCTACCATCTCTATGATGGGATGGTGGTGTGTTGTAGCCCGCGGCAAAGGCAATGTTAGAATACATAATAAATATCAATTACCATTGAATCCTTGCTACATAATTATATGAAAATTACAAGTGCAATAATAAAATATCAAAATCATGGTTGCGTACTTACTAGTATTCTAGGTTGCAGTTAAATGATCACACTAATGAAGTCCTAAGTCTAGTTACCTTCAGCGTTCACTGTCTAGTGATAAGATCATAAAAGACAGATTCTGATCTGCTCTTGCTATTTATTCAAGTTGGGTGATGATTTTGATTGGGTGGTTTAAATATTGTTTGTTCTCCCATCCAATGATAATCACTTTTAATGTTGCGGGTTTGACTTTCTACCCACAAAGTTTATCGGGTAGAAGGGGTGAATACAAAAATCACACTTTTCATGAGCTGTCGCGCGTCTGAATGCGATAACACCAAGGGAAATCACTCGGGTATCCTACTGAAGGGCAAAACAGTGAGAAGAAGGGGTATTATTTTACCTGGGCGGGTTTACGGTGGAAGAATTGGACAATGACCAGCCTCAAACCATCCCATCTACCAATAGTTGGTCCTGAACAATGTTTATGATAACTTTCTCGTTCTTCACTAAACATTCTTTTGGAGCTTTGCATACATTGCACATGACAACCCTATTATTTGTATTGTTCACGTTTTGGCATTTTTTTTATATTTTTTTAAAAAACTAAATAAGTGCATGAATCTTTATAAATTTGAAATCCATGTAAAAGTGATATGAGATGTTGATCAAGTAATTGATCAGTCTACTTGTTAGAGTTTACTTTATGATTTAAGTGCAACAAAAATGATCCCACCACCTGTGTAAAGAGACATTAAATTACATCACCACCTGTGTAAAGAGACATTAAATTACATCACCACCTGTGTAAAGAGACATTAAATTACATTACCACCTGTGTAAAGAGACATTAAATTACATTACCACCTGTGTAAAGAGACATTAAATTACATCACCAACTGTGTAAAGAGACATTAAATTACATTACCACCTGTGTAAAGAGACATTAAATTACATCACCACCTGTGTAAAGAGACATTAAATTACATCACCACCTGTGTAAAGAGACATTAAATTACATCACCACCTGTGTAAAGAGACATTAAATTACATCACCACCTGTGTAAAGAGACATTAAATTACATCACCACCTGTGTAAAGAGACATTAAATTACATCACCACCTGTGTAAAGAGACATTAAATTACATCATCACCTGTGTAAAGAGACATTAAATTACATCACCAACTGTGTAAAGAGACATTAAATTACATCACCACCTGTGTAAAGAGACATTAAATTACATCACCACCTGTGTAAAGAGACATTAAATTACATCACCACCTGTGTAAAGAGACATTAAATTACATTACCACCTGTGTAAAGAGACATTAAATTACATCACCACCTGTGTAAAGAGACATTAAATTACATCATCACCTGTGTAAAGAGACATTAAATTACATCACCACCTGTGTAAAGAGACATTAAATTACATCACCACCTGTGTAAAGAGACATTAAATTACATCACCACCTGTGTAAAGAGACATTAAATTACATTACCACCTGTGTAAAGAGACATTAAATTACATCACCACCTGTGTAAAGAGACATTAAATTACATCACCACCTGTGTAAAGAGACATTAAATTACATCACCACCTGTGTAAAGAGACATTAAATTACATCACCACCTGTGTAAAGAGACATTAAATTACATCACCACCTGTGTAAAGAGACATTAAATTACATCACCACCTGTGTAAAGAGACATTAAATTACATCACCACCTGTGTAAAGAGACATTAAATTACATCACCACCTGTGTAAAGAGACATTAAATTACATCACCACCTGTGTAAAGAGACATTAAATTACATCACCACCTGTGTAAAGAGACATTAAATTACATCACCACCTGTGTAAAGAGACATTAAATTACATCACCACCTGTGTAAAGAGACATTAAATTACATCACCACCTGTGTAAAGAGACATTAAATTACATCACCACCTGTGTAAAGAGACATTAAATTACATCACCACCTGTGTAAAGAGACATTAAATTACATCACCACCTGTGTAAAGAGACATTAAATTACATCACCACCTGTGTAAAGAGACATTAAATTACATCACCACCTGTGTAAAGAGACATTAAATTACATCACCACCTGTGTAAAGAGACATTAAATTACATCACCACCTGTGTAAAGAGACATTAAATTACATCACCACCTGTGTAAAGAGACATTAAATTACATCACCACCTGTGTAAAGAGACATTAAATTACATCACCACCTGTGTAAAGAGACATTAAATTACATCACCACCTGTGTAAAGAGACATTAAATTACATCACCACCTGTGTAAAGAGACATTAAATTACATCACCACCTGTGTAAAGAGACATTAAATTACATCACCACCTGTGTAAAGAGACATTAAATTACATCACCACCTGTGTAAAGAGACATTAAATTACATCACCACCTGTGTAAAGAGACATTAAATTACATCACCACCTGTGTAAAGAGACATTAAATTACATCACCACCTGTGTAAAGAGACATTAAATTACATCACCACCTGTGTAAAGAGACATTAAATTACATCACCACCTGTGTAAAGAGACATTAAATTACATCACCACCTGTGTAAAGAGACATTAAATTACATCACCACCTGTGTAAAGAGACATTAAATTACATTACCACCTGTGTAAAGAGACATTAAATTACATTACCACCTGTGTAAAGAGACATTAAATTACATTACCACCTGTGTAAAGAGACATAAAATTACATTACCACCTGTGTAAAGAGACATTAAATTACATTACCACCTGTGTAAAGAGACATTAAATTACATTACCACCTGTGTAAAGAGACATTAAATTACATTACCATCTGTGTAAAGAGACATTAAATTACATTACCACCTGTGTAAAGAGACATTAAATTACATTACCACCTGTGTAAAGAGACAATAAATTACATTACCACCTGTGTAAAGAGACATTAAATTACATTACCACCTGTGTAAAGAGACATTAAATTACATTACCACCTGTTTAAAGAGACATTAAATTACATTACCACCTGTGTAAAGAGACATTAAATTACATTACCACCTGTGTAAAGAGACATTAAATTACATTACCACCTGTGTAAAGAGACATTAAATTACATTACCACCTGTGTAAAGAGACATTAAATTACATTACCACCTGTGTAAAGAGACATTAAATTACATTACCACCTGTGTAAAGAGACATTAAATTACATTACCACCTGTGTAAGGAGACATTAAATAACATTACCACCTGTGTAAGGAGACATTAAATTACATTACCACCTGTGTAAAGAGACATTAAATTACATTACCACCTGTGTAAAGAGACATTAAATTACATTACCACCTGTGTAAAGAGACATTAAATTACATTACCACCTGTGTAAAGAGACATTAAATTACATTACCACCTGTGTAAAGAGACATTAAATTACATTACCACCTGTGTAAAGAGACATTAAATTACATTACCACCTGTGTAAAGAGACATTAAATTACATTACCACCTGTGTAAAGAGACATTAAATTACATTACCACCTGTGTAAAGAGACTTTCTGTTTGTATCCCAACTCTTAAAATTATTTTTAGAGTCTTTATTTTATAAGTGTGTGTGTTGATTTGTTTTGTTATTTGTTTTAATTTTAATGTGCTGATAGGCTTTTAGACCAAATTTTCAACCCTGTGTTTCGTCTTTGTATCTTGTCCCTTTTTAAAAATAATTGTCTGGATCTTTCATTCACAGATAGATTATACTCCTACCTTTTTCTTTTATATCCTTATTACCTTAGATATCAACATTTATCCTTCCTGATCGTATCTAATGCATTTTCAGATGCCCAAAAGACAGTATGATAATGCTATTTTTTTGTAAATAATTTTTATGTTCTATTTCAATGTGAGATCATGTTGTATACTGATAAATTGTATGTTTGATAAATCTTATTATATCTGTATCCTAATTTACAACAAATACCTTGTTATGCAAAAATATTGTTTGCTTGTTTAAATATGTGCCATTAGCTCAGGCTTTATAAGTCTCACATCATTGTCTTCAATTTTAAATATATAATCTTTTTCTTTTGAAAACATCATGTATTTTTTTTACATTGTATATTTTTTACTTCTTTTTTTAATAGTCAGGTTATATAAGCAATTTGAGATTTATAAATTATTTAAAACCGTAGTATTTGTATTCATTTTTTTTATTTGCTACCCATCAATAGTATTAGTATTAGACTATATTACATTATTATCAAAATATATCAACTAGATATTTTCATAGACTGCCGAACATCCATTGTCAAAAAATCATGTGTTTCTTGACATTCCCAAAGATGGTGAACATCTGGGTCAAATTACAATCGAATTATATTCAGATATTCCAAAAACTTCAGAAAATTTTTGGAACTCTCTGTACAGGAGAGAACGGTTTTGTCCATATTTCATCGTATTATACTTGGATTTATTTGCCAGGGAGGTGACTTCACAAATCGCAGTGGTACAGGTGGCAGAAGTATTTATGGTACTAAATTCCTAGGATAAAACTTCAAGTATAAACACACTGCACCAGGAATTTTATCAGTAGCAAATACTTATACTTACATATGCCTTTTACCCCATTCTTCTACTAGAATTCTCCATTCATCTCTGTCCTGTGCTTTCCTTTCCAGTTTTTACCAGGTGTATCCCATACTTGTATATTTGGCTCTAGCTGACATCTCCATATATTCTTAAGCCCCCCTCTCTCTTTTTCCCAGTGGATTCCACGTTAGGGATTTCTGGTGATGTTATCTGGGGATTTATGAAGAGTGTGCCCTATCCACCTCCATCTTTTCTTTATGATGTCTTCAGCAATATGCTTCTGGTATGTCCTTTCCATTAAGTCTTTGTTGATGATGGTGTTAAGCCATTTGATGTTGAGGATCTTTCTAAGGCAAATAATTATGAAGGTCTGTACTTTCTGCATAATGCTCGCTGCTGTTCTCCAAGTTTTGGCTCCTTAAAGTAGGACAGTTTTTATATTTGTGTTAAAAATTCTGACATTGGTTTGCTGAGTATTTTAGTCAATAACACAAATGCTGGCCAGATCTTTCCAATTGTATATTCAGAACCACGATTATTTCAATGGTGCTGCTTAAGTATGTGAAGGCCTCCACTTCTTCCAGTGCATTTCCTGCCAGAGAGATATGCCCTTGGTTGGCTGAGTTTACCTTCATGAGCTTTGTCTTTTAATCTGTGTGCATATTTTTCAGCATTGTTATCATAGAATGTGATTTGGTTTTGAGTAAATGTGCTTGCAGCCAAAGTCAATGCTTGTCAGTTTTTGTTTAATACTCTGAAAATAAACTAGATTATAAATAAGGTTTTAAAATTTAATAATTTTTTTTAAGCTTTTATTATTTGTAAAGAAAAAAGTTATTTTATGTATAGCTTTTTTTTTTTACATAGATTAAAAATGATTTAATTTTAGGGTGATTAATTTCAACTTCCATATTTGTTTTTTTTTTTTTTTAAAGCAATTTCCCTTTGATGCATTTGTTTTTATGGGCACTTGATGCCAGGCATTCGTTAGAAGAGTCACATTGGTAGATGGATCATAGTCTTTAGATGAATCGTGTTCGTTAGATGAGACAATCCAAATTAAAATCACAGTAGTAGAATTAAAAGAAATGGTTTTCACCTACTATTTTTAGACAGTGATTTGATTTAGGTGTCATGTCTTTGTTTTAAAATTAAATCCTAAACACTGATAAAGTTTAGTTATGTAAACAATTTTAAATTATGTGCAAGAAATTCATATTGCATATCCCGTTTGTCCAAGCGGCATTTGTATATAATGCCTCTCAAATGTTAGTTTAAAAAAAAATTATATTGCAGTAATCTAGGCTGGTAATGTTAAGAGTGAAGGTTCAACACAGAGAATAATATAATATATTTGTAACAATAAGTTATAAATCCAGCTTTTAATTTAACATATATAAATTAATGATATATTATGGTCAAACTATATTATAATTTTAAAAATGCATTTATCTTTGAACAACTGGGATTACTATTGTCATTGTTGCATCTTAAACAACTAACCGATTTGTAATACCGGATTTCATATTAGCAACTTAATTTATATTCTATAGTGCCAGTTTTTATTTTTGAAAACTTTAATGTCTTTCCTTTTTGACCTGCGCCTTTGGGGGTGAAAAAAATTATATCAAATTATTTATTTTCAGATTCAAAATCCTAATGAGAGGACACCATTATTGTATCCACAACCAGGTGAACAACAAAATCAGGGGTAAGAATGCAGCAAAATATCATTATAAAAGTTTGATTTAACCATACTACCAATAAACATAAATGTTTGTGCAATCTATTATAAAAAAAAATACCAAAGCATAGTGATTCACACAATGCTGCTTTCATTTTTTATAAATTATATTTCCATGAGGCAACAAAATGGTTTACACTTGCACATCCATGTCATCATTTACAATGCAAACTTACTGCTGTGCGATTTAAAATTTGGCTTTGAAATAGCCAAGATGTTTCCCTTAAATTTGATAATTAGTAAGGGGAAGAGTCTGCAATGAGGTTAGATAGAAGAAAATGAGTGAAATAAGGTATGGGAAAACATAAAAAAAGGACTCAAAATAACAATGATACTAAATTGAAGCAAAGTGTTTATTTTAATTATTTATATTTGTGTTTCTTTTGTTTGTTCACCAAAGAAGGTTTCTTGCCGACATGTTCATTGTTTTGATGCATCCTTTTTTTTTCAGGTTTTCCATACCAGTACCTTGTTTCACTTATTTCCTACACTTTATATATGGTACCGGTACCTGGTATTTTAATTTCTGAGGGCAGATAGATGATTTTTCACCCCATGACTATTCAAAATGAACTTCCCTTCATTTCAATAAGCTATTCTTCAATAAAATAGTTGTTGAACGTAGAATATTTAAAATTATGTTAATACATATTTCCTCTTTTATCCAGAGGTCGATCAGGACCAATTTATTCACAGCAGAACCAGACAGGAGATGAACAGTCAGAATTTACAAGAATATTAAGGCAGACAGCAATGTACGTGAAATTAAAACATTTCTGCACTAACAGATGTTATTTTTTTTTTTTACACAACCTTATTACCAAATCCCCTGGTATCATCTGCTAATTATAAGAGTGTCTAATTAATCTACTTTATACCATCTGCTAATTATAAGAGTGTCTAATTAATCTACTTTATACCATCTGCTAATTATAAGAGTGTCTAATTAATCTACTTTATACCATCTGCTAATTATAAGAGTGTCTAATTAATCTACTTTATACCATCTGCTAATTATAAGAGTGTCTAATTAATCTACTTTATACCATCTGCTAATTATAAGGAGTGCCTAATTAATCTACTTTATACCATCTGCTAATTATAAGGAGTGCCTAATTAATCTACTTTATACCATCTGCTAATTATAAGAGTGTCTAATTAATCTACTTTATAAAATCTGCTAATTATAAGAGTGTCTAATTAATCTACTTTGTACCATCAGCTATAAGATTGTCTAATTAATTTACTTGGTACCATCAGGAATGAGTTAAGACTTGGAAGACATTTCAAAAAGCAACTTAATGAACAGATGATATGAAAATAAAAGCTGTGACTTTTCTTCTATTGCCTTTTATTGTTAATCATTTTCAGAAATGTCATAGATGTCACTTCAACTGAGTCACATAACATAGAGCAGGGAGATATGCAAGACAGAGCTACACAGTATAGGTATTTATATACACAAGTTTAGTGGGAGATATGCAAGACAGAGCTACACAGTTTATGTATTTATAGACTCAAGTTTAGTGGGAGATATGCAAGACAGAGCTACACAGTTTATGTATTTATAGACTCAAGTTTAGTGGGAGATATGCAAGACAGAGCTACACAGTATAGGTATTTATATTGGGAGATGTGCAAATTCTGTACCGGTATTTAAAATGTCTTGTGGAAATGTTTTCATTTCAAGCTCTAAATCTAAACACTCATGTTGAATCTGAAGTTATTTTCACTCCCCTTTAGTCTATTTGATTGGAACCATGTTTTTAAGGACAATTTTTCAAACAACTTCCCCACATCCTGTATAGTTGGTAGAGTGTTTGTTCAAAATTAAATACAGATCATTCATATAAAAAATTCAAAATACCTTTTGAATAGTATTAGTATGAGATGTTATGCACTTTTAAGACCATGTGAACATTGACAACTTGGCATAGTTTATGAAGGTTATAGGAAAAGAAAAGATTATTTTTTTACCCAAGGCAGTAACAATGAATGAGAAATAATAATGTTGGTCATAATTTATTATAAATTTATTGATACCCCGGTACTTATGGGTAAAACCAAGCAAATTATTTTAGAATTTTATCAGGATTAAATTTTATTCAAACATTGTAATTTTTCTGTGTTTTTTTTTCCTTTTAATATTTTTTTGGGTTGTATATTAAATTATATTTGTGGTTTTCCAGCAATCGGTTGAATATGGTGCTTCAAGGATCAGGAAAGTCAAGAGTGTACAGACCTAATCTGCCTACTGGAATAACATCACCACAGATGACATTAGCAGCTGCCCCTATTTCAATATCAGATGTTCAATTAGTAAGTAACACTGCACAGCTTAGTATTGAAAATAATGCACAAATTTAATTTTTTTTTCTATGGTATATATAATTTTTAATAATTTATAGTTGCTCTAACACATTGTCACCTCATTTACAACATCGTCAATTTCCAATTTTTCAAGATCTTTTCAAATTTTTATGAGCCTTCCTTGCATCTTTCCCTTAGTTAGCATTCATTATAAAGTGTTTTAGCTATATTTTGCTGAGACAGGCATAGCATGTGCAGAATAATTTACAGACATTTGTGGGAAGTGTAGTACAGACAAAATAAGATAAGATGCTTTTATTGATTCAAATAAATGAAAAAATGTTTCTTTAAATTGGTTTTTAGACTAGGGATCCAGTGAACAATTGTATGGTGAGAATAGAGAATAGCTGTTAATTCTTCAGTGTACATAGACATTTTGAACAGAGTAATTTTCTGCTTTCTATGCACAAGGTCCTCTGCCAGCCCCTCTTTAACATTCACACCTGGACTGCTTTCATAAATTAGCTAACTATCATCAGGGATTCTCACCTTGCCAATATCAGTCCAAAAAATATAAACACATTTACTGCTTCTTATTCCGAAAAAAAAAAAAATTCTTAAAAACTTCAAAACTATTTACAAAAGCTAAAAAGAATCAATACAGATGCTATCGAGTGGCCTGCAGAGTGTTGCCCAGGGAGTAGATGTATATGCCTTTATTAATACTTTCTCATTTGGCAAGGCCTTAAACAGGGTGAAGTTAGTTTTAGTATGGGCAGTGGTCTTAACCCTAACACTCAAGTCTACCATTCTCTCGGTTTTCTTGTCTACCGATTTCCTTTTGAAGATTTGTTCCCAGCTTGTCAACATCTTCAAAGTCTTCCGTTTAATTGTGCCATTTTTTTTTCGGTAGATAGGATATCTCCATGCCTGAACATTTGCATGTCATTTTCTAACTGTGGCTTGTGCTCACATGAACAGTGGTTTGTGCTCACATCACACAATATGTTCTAATCTATTTTTAACATTGTTTTGTAAACAAGTTAAGTAATGTATGGTTATTTTATTATTTTCCTTTTCTTTTTAGTCTTGGAGATTTCACATCAAAGAAATATTAACTTAAGTGGAATCTTTTGTTTTTTACCAATTTGTTTTCAGATTAACAAGAAAAATGTTTTGGACCAAGCTAGTTTGGGGGGGGGGGGGGGGGGGGGGGGGGAACGCCCCCCCCCCCCCCCCCCCCCATAAAATGTATAAAATTTAGGAAGGAATGTTATGGAAAACATTGGTGATAATCTTTACTATTTGTCTCCATTTACAGATCACAAGTGTTAGTGAAAAGTTAGCAAATGCTGCAAGAGAGATAAAAATTCAACACAAAGAGAGTTTAGTTGTTACTTTTGGAGTGCCATGACATGCTGAAAACTGTTAATAAATTTTAAAGTGTGAGAGTTGTTTTTTTTCTAAACTGTACATAAAGGTATGCATGCTTTTAAATACTGGACAAATGTTTTTAATAAAATATAATTATGCTTTACTATGTAAGGTGACACATTTAGTCTTTCAATATATAGAACCCCATAAACTCTTAGTGTTATCTAAGTCAAAATTGTGTTTAGTTTATCATCTCCTTAACATTTTCAAAAAAGAAAAAAAGCATGTAATGGCTAGAATTAAAATTTAAGGAACTCTATAATTTAATTAATTTAGTTTATTGTACTTTAAAATTGCAATTACTGTTATCCAGCAATTGGTCATAAGTAATCTATGTTATCCAGCAATTGTTCCTAAGTAATCGAATAAGTGGTATTCTTAAGTTAAATTTCATGAACAGAATGTCAGTGTTCAGGTAGCTGCATGATGTTTGCTTCATTTGTTGATCATATTTAATGAAATTTTGTATGCACAGTTTTTTTTTTATTTGAAATCAATTTTAATTCAATTGTTTTATTTTTCACTTATAAATGAATTGAAATGTGTTATTAAAAATTTGTCTGTAAAAAAATTAGAAATCTTTATAAATTTATGGTTATTTCGATGGCAAAATTAAAGACCAGAGTAGTTATCCATCAAGATGAACTAAGAGTAAGAGTAGTTGTCTATCAAGATGAACTTACTAGGGATAAGAAGAAGCCCCTAATATTTTGTTTCTGTTTTTTTTTTTTTTTAGCACATAGAATATTTTCTTTACTTCCTTTTTTTTTTATTATTTCCCAGTTTGCATTTTTTAAGAAGAAGCCCCTAATATTTTGTTTCTGTTTTTTTTTTTTTTTTTAGCACATAGAATATTTTCTTTACTTCCATTTTTTTTGATTATTGCCCAGATTGCATTTTTTCTCTCCAACATTATACCGGTACTTACACTGTGATGCTAAACATAATATTATCGTTATTAATCATCACCATCAGGAGAATAGAAAGAAAATGCTACATATTATAACTTTATGATAAATTGTTTTTACAAAAATAAACATGGTAAAAAATATTTTAATGAACCACCAAACTCTTATTTAATTGTGATTCTAGTAATACTGCCCTAGCAAGGTGAGGCCTGTGCACTCCATGTTTAAATACAATCCAAATTCTAGAGAATATAAGGTCCTGGACTGAGGATTTGTTTTACTTTTACTTTTAGTCACTGTTTATTAACCAGTATCACTTAAGTTTTTTTTTGGTTTCATAAATCATATTTTAAAATAAAAAAGATACGGGCAGTCCTAACATGAATAGACACATTTTAATTCTCTTAATATGTGCTTGAAGTTCCAATACCAAAAGAAAAGAGCTTAACATCTTTTCAAATTAAAGAACTTAAGGTGTCATGAAGGTAAATATTTAAGGTGCGAGAAAAAAATTCTATTACTATTACTATTAGTTGTATTAGGTTCAATATCTTAAGGAAAAAAAAACACTTGTAATCCTTTTTTTTAAATTATTCCACTCTGCTAAGTTGGTGAAAAATAAGTACCGTAGGTGAAAGATAACCTCAGTGAAATGAGTTAGTTCAAAATAATGTAAAGCAAAAGCATTATTCCCAGCGGACTGGATAATAATAATAGTGCTATCATAATAAAACTCTTTTAAAAAAATATAATTATAATTGAGTATTGAGCTACATTCTTATTTGTTTGGTGTAAACCCATTTTCAGCTTGGGAATAAATAGTTTATGCAGAGTAGAGTGGACTAGGAATAACATTGAGGGCTATAGAGCCTATTTAGTAGTGGTCTGATGCCTTATAATTTGAGCCGCACTTTTGTGATAATACTAATAGTCTGTTACTGTTAGCTACACCTATTAAAAAATCAGCAAGAGATCAATAGCTGATACATTTATCTTTTAATTTTAAGTTACCGGTAATGGTTTGGTTTTATTAACAAAGATGTTTTTTCTATACCGGTACTTAGTCTTTTTTACTTTCATTATTAACTTTCAACATTTGTAAGACATTTTAATAACATGTTACTACTAATTCTATTTTTACTAATTTAGTGTAATTGTGTTTATAAATTTTAGGATTCTGAAGATTTATTTTCACTTTATTTTTTCCTTCGTTTGTTTTCAAAAGTGCTGTATCCCAAACACAAACACTTTATTACAGTATTGTAGCAAGATATAAGTTAAATGCTTTACTAATAGTATTAGTAAAGGTATCATTTTTCAAGAACATCATGAATTATTAAAATGAACACCTTTGCAGAAGGGCAACATTAAAAGACCAAAACAATTTTTTTCTTTCATTTCTTTCACTTAACTGTTATTTTTACCCATGACTTCAATTAATAGGCGGGCTTACAATTAACTACAAGAATAGGTTAAGATTATGATTATAAAATTTATGTCTAGCTGTACATACTTCAGGAGTGCAATTTTCTCCATTTAATTGACCCTATCTTATACCAAGTTGTATTAAAATTAAGCCAAAATAGTTTTTAATTAAGCTTCGGATGAAAAACCTCTAAACCTGTCTGATAACCCCTCTCCCTATTTTTAATCTAAAGTGATATTAATCACAATTTATATCAATATTGTACCATAATTGAAAGTTATTGGGAAAACTAAAATTGGCTTTGACTTTAATTCTGCAGTAGCCAAAATTGTACATTCAGACTAAAAATATACATTTGGTACAGTTAACTAAATAAAACAACACTATGGGTATTTTTAAAACCAAAAATTTTATTTTGCTCTTATTTCCAGTAGGAAATGCAACAGAAAAAGTAGGCTTAAACTTAAAAACTTGAAGTAAGGTTAGTGGTAAAAAGCAAAAATTAAAATTTACTTTGAAGGTTTTTTTTCTTCTTTTTTCTTTAAAAAAGATGGACAATTTCTTGTCAGTGATAGAAATCTAAAAAATTGATCTGAATTTCACAAAAAATATAGTACCGATTATTTCAAAAAAAAAAAACCATGGTCAATGAGAATGTTTGAAAAATAGCTAACTAAAAGGCCTATAGATAAACTTAGCCCTTTAGCTGCCACCACGAAGACGTAATACTAAATGCAGAGTAGATTCTTTCTGGATGTTGTAGTCTGATAGGGTGCGACCATCTTCAAGTTGTTTACCAGCAAAGATTAGACGTTGCTGATCTGGTGGGATTCCCTCCTTGTCTTGAATTTTAGCTTTAACATTTTCAATGGTGTCTGAGGGCTCGACCTCAAGGGTGATGGTTTTACCAGTCAGTGTTTTAACAAAGATCTGCATGCCTCCTCTCAGACGAAGCACCAAATGGAGAGTAGACTCTTTCTGGATATTGTAGTCTGACAGGGTACGACCATCTTCAAGTTGTTTACCAGCAAAGATTAGACGTTGCTGATCTGGTGGGATTCCCTCCTTGTCTTGAATTTTAGCTTTAACATTTTCAATGGTGTCTGAGGGCTCCACCTCAAGGGTGATGGTTTTACCAGTCAGTGTTTTAACAAAGATCTGCATGCCTCCTCTCAGACGAAGAACCAAATGGAGAGTAGACTCTTTCTGGATGTTGTAGTCTGACAGGGTGCGACCATCTTCAAGTTGTTTACCAGCAAAGATTAGACGTTGCTGATCTGGTGGGATTCCCTCCTTGTCTTGAATTTTAGCTTTAACATTTTCAATGGTGTCTGAGGGCTCGACCTCAAGGGTGATGGTTTTACCAGTCAGTGTTTTAACAAAGATCTGCATGCCTCCTCTCAGACGAAGCACCAAATGGAGAGTAGACTCTTTCTGGATATTGTAGTCTGACAGGGTACGACCATCTTCAAGTTGTTTACCAGCAAAGATTAGACGTTGCTGATCTGGTGGGATTCCCTCCTTGTCTTGAATTTTAGCTTTAACATTTTCAATGGTGTCTGAGGGCTCCACCTCAAGGGTGATGGTTTTACCAGTAAGTGTTTTAACAAAGATCTGCATGCCTCCTCTCAGACGAAGAACCAAATGAAGAGTTGACTCTTTCTGGATGTTGTAGTCTGACAGGGTGCGACCATCTTCAAGTTGTTTACCAGCAAAGATTAGACGTTGCTGATCTGGTGGGATTCCCTCCTTGTCTTGAATTTTAGCTTTAACATTTTCAATGGTGTCTGAGGGCTCGACCTCAAGGGTGATGGTTTTACCAGTCAGTGTTTTAACAAAGATCTGCATGCCTCCTCTCAGACGAAGCACCAAATGGAGAGTAGACTCTTTCTGGATATTGTAGTCTGACAGGGTACGACCATCTTCAAGTTGTTTACCAGCAAAGATTAGACGTTGCTGATCGGGTGGGATTCCCTCCTTGTCTTGAATTTTAGCTTTAACATTTTCAATGGTATCTGAGGGCTCGACCTCAAGGGTGATGGTTTTACCAGTCAGTGTTTTAACAAAGATCTGCATGCCTCCTCTCAGACGAAGAACCAAATGAAGAGTTGACTCTTTCTGGATGTTGTAGTCTGACAGGGTGCGACCATCTTCAAGTTGTTTACCAGCAAAGATTAGACGTTGCTGATCTGGTGGGATTCC